GGCAGTGGCTATCGACGGTGAAGGTGGTGGGAGGAGAGAGGAAGAGAGGGGTGAGGAGGAGGACAGGGAAATGGCCTCGTGGGTGGCATCGGTTGACTGTATGGCGAGGGTAGAGGGAGTGTGGTCGATCGGCGGGGCGAGAGAGGGAGGAGAGAGAAGAGAAGATGGGGCGGCGGCTGCCGGTTCGTGAAGAAGAGAAGGAGAGAAAGAAAGAGATTGGCGGGCGAAAATGAAAACGTAAGAGAGAGAGAGGGAATTATATTATATATATATAATATATAGTATACTTTATAAGTATATATATATATATAATATATATGATTTAAATATATATTATATATATAATATATATAGTATATATATATAAGAAATAGAATATTAGGGTTTTTTAAAATTAATTAAAAATAATAACAATCACAAAAAAATTTAAATAATTACGTGAAAATTATATACACATTAAAACATACCAGTTATAGTAATACAATCGATAATACGTAATAGTAAAAATAATACAATAAATTATATAATTAAATAAGAATAATTAATAAAAAAATAATTACTTATATTAAAAATTAAATAATTATGGGATAATTATCCATGTAATAAAATGTACCAGTTGTGCTAATACGATAGTTGATACATAACAGTAGAAATAATACAACTAATTCTACAATAAACTGAGAATAATTAATAAAAAATATAATTACTTACATTTAAAATTAAATAATTATGGAAAAATTATCTATACAATAAAATGTACTAGTTATACTAATACAACCGATAATATGCAATAATAGAAATAATACCACAAATTATATAAATAATACGTAATTAATAATACAATATATTACATGAAATAATACGTAATAAATAATAATAATACAAAATATTATTTAAAATAATTTTTAATAGTATCAATAACACAACGGATAAATTCTATAAATTTTTACTGCACTAAACTAATTTATAAATATCAAAACCATTTAATTAAATATAAAACTTGGACTTTAAATCATAGAAATTCCTAGAAAATCAAAAAAATACAAATACTCTTTTAAAAATAATAATTAAAAATTTTAATACTCCAGAAAATTATTTTAAGTAGTATCAAAATTCACGGTCATTACATCCTATCCCTTTTAAAACAAATTCCGTCCTTGGAATTAAAATAAAAGTAATGTACAAAAACCCAAGGACAAAGATATGAAACTATATCCATATGCAGAGGAGAATGTAAAACAATAACTGCGTAAGATAAGATATAAGAGCGATAGCTGAGATTCAGCATTCATATGGATATAAAAATAAATATTCATATGCTAGTATAAGGTGATATCAAGCAATTCAAGATTAATACATAAAAGAACACTTAGTAGTGTATGAAAAATTTAAGTCATAATATATTCAGCTGTATCACAATCATAAAATATGCTAATATTCAGTACACAGAGACACAAAAAGGTGACAATTATCTTAAAAGAAATACATAGAAAATATAAATATATATATCATAATAATATGAATACATATGCATAATTAACGAATCATTCAAAAAGTATGGAACATATATCAACATTATATTATTGATATAATATCATAAGACAACACATCAAGGTGTTAAAATATAATCAATGACATAGAATTGGTAAAATATAACTAATATATAGCATACAAAAATATGATATGAAATATAAATACATAATTTAAACAACTGTCAATCACTAGAATATATGATAAAGCATATTAATTCAACAATATAAATAATTAAAAGAAGAGCATGAAGAAGATAAAAGACAAAAGTTCTCAACAAAATATTATATGATAAAATAGACGCAAGAGTAAACAAGTGATTTAAAATAAACATATTATATAAAACATAATAGGAAGGATATAATTATATATATTCGACAAACAATATGATAAATCAGAAATATTAGTAATATTCATAAGGTAAAATAATAAATATAAACAAGATATAACAATAATAGTCACTATTGTATAAAATTAAGTCAGATATATTAATATTGTATATTAGTCAAAATCACATAAATACGATCAGCATAAATATAAATAAATAAAGATGTATAATACATAACACATGAACTATAAAAGATAAAATAAATTTATAAACAAATAGAACATAAAAGAGCATAATTTCGTATAATGCAAACACCGATGTATTGTAAATAAACATACCATGAAGGATTAATGAATATGTGAACATAAACACTGATAATACATGAACAGAACACGATTAGACAAACTTGATACTAAAAATGATGAATGACTATAAATCAATAAAAAGTACATATCATAAATATAATAATATACGTGAATAAACTATAAAGAAAAGAGAATAGTAATTATAAAGAATGAAAAAGTAAAACATAACACAAGTAACGAAAATAATGAATAGAGAATGAACGACAATAATGACACAATAAAAGACATAAATATCTAAAAATACCATAAAATAAATACTGTATATATGTTACAATGACAAAACAACACATGTCGAAAATGAAGCAAACAAACAACAAATATACAAATACACTATAAAAAAATCATGAATAAATACTATACATACCCACAAATGCTATTTAGAATAATATTTTATATTAGTTATAAAAGAATAATAATTAGTGTAGCAAAATAACTATATAATTAGTAACTCAACTCTAAACCTAACAATATGAATAAATGCCTGAATGTCAAAATAGAAATATATTGTTCTTAGAAATAATGGAAACATACTAAAACAGTCTAACAAGTCAAAACTGACTGATAAAAACTATATACTGAAAATGTAAAGGAGTAAGAATATAGTGCATATGAAGAATATTAAAATCATGAACTTATTAAAGTATATCACAAAATACAAACAATATACAATAATCTAAACATAAGTAAATAATAGATGATATGATAGAAAAACGTACTCATACACTATATATATATGCAAAAGTATAATTTAACACAATAAAATAATCTAAATATTAGATATGATATGCGATGTATATGTAAAATCTAATGACATGATTTAAATAATTGAAAATGTATAAGTAATGATATATATATATTTTTAATAAAAACATACAATATAATATTGTGTGTGATACATGAAATAATGTAATAAATAATACATAAATCAATACAATTAAATGATATATATGTCAAATCAAAGAAATATAGTGTAAAAATAATAACACATAAAATAATGATCGGTACGAGGAAAGAGAAGTTATACGAAGAGAGTGTAGTCGTAAAGTGATGAGACAAGAAACAGTGGGAAGTTCAGGAGTCAAAAAGTGATAAGGTAAGGATGTAATGAAATCTATTAAGAAAATATGATAAGGGCTCAAGAATAGTCTCACGGATAAAATTATGATATGTATCTAAATTGTCTGTTATATTCTCACTGATAGGAACTTGCAAGTTCAAGACCTGCATGGGCCACCAACAAAAACCTGTCATGTCCCGCTTCTCAAAATACTCGGGAATCAGAACGTGAACAAGCCTGCGACGTATTAGATTGAGAAGAAATATATATTAATTTTTTTCTTTCTTTTTTGTTTCTTCTCAATCTAATATGCTAAGCGTCAAGCAAAAGAATATCTATCACAAATCCCCGATTACAATAGCAAGAATGTAAAGACAACCCAGAATAAGAAATAAACATACAATCAAAAACAGATCATCCTACACATAAAAATATGGGCTAAACATACCCTTATTATAAAAATGGTCCAACTAGGAATATCAAAATACATAGTTCATAAAAAGAAAGTACTGCTAAAATGATAAGTC